AGGGCATTCTTTTCTCCGTTGTATTCGAAGAGATTCTGAACCACTTTTGATGTAAAAATTTCACGATATTCTTTATTCTCAATATAATTTATTTGTAAGTCTGGTACTTTTAATTAATGTCCAAAATACAAAATATCATCATATAATTTAAATGTGTATTTTTCACACCCCTCTTTGATATCAAAGAAAACAACATGTTGGTTTTCGACTTTAAACAAAAACGAATTTCCAGATCCTGTGTTTGTGTTTTTTACATAAGCTCCAAAAACTTTATTTTCGGAATTAACAAACATAAATAACATATTATATCCTCTTTCGGATATATCATAAATTTGTCTTAGTTCATGATAACTTTTATTCAAATCCACAGAAACTTTAAAAGTTGTTTTTGAATGTTTTTCAATTTCTTTAAAAATTTCAATTTTATTATTAAAAAAGTTATGAACGGTTCTTGTATAAGCAGCAATTCTGTTTTTTGTGTCAACTTCCTTTTGTTCTTTAACCAATCTCTTCTTGATTACAGAAAATGTATTTACTAATTTATCTTCCCAACTGTGTGTCAACATTTTAAAGTCATTTTCAACATTAAATTTTTGTAATTCTAATATTTGAATTTTAAGGTCTTTGCTCTTCTTTTGTGCTTTGAGTATTTCGTAAATAACAGTGTCATTGTTTGCAGACAACACTTCGATATCACTTTTCATTTTTTTGGTCGTTTCTTCAAATTTTGTAAAGATGGTTTTCAGGTGTTCTTTTTGCTTTTCAACACAAGAAATCAAATAATTTCTTTGAGAAATAGCTTCTTGTACTTTGTCAAAATAACTTTCAAGAGATGTAACTTATTTTCTATTTCAGTTTGATATAATGAATTTCGTTGTGTGAGTTCTTTAACACTCAGACCATTTATGTTATTATCATCAAATACACAATCAAATAGAGGCGGGTTTTCTTCGTATGGCTTTGTGAATTTGTATATAAGTGTATTAAGTTCTTGCATCCTCTCAACACACAAACCAGCATCAACTTCATATTGGTCGAGTTGCTCTTTAAAAGACATGTTATTATTCACAGTTTATTGTTTTCTTTTTAATTCTTTTTAGTAATTAAACAAATAAATTATTAAATAAATGTTAATTGTTTATAGTATTTTGCCAAATATTCTAAAAATTAAAATGTTCGCAGAACTTTTTACTTAAAGTGACTTCCCAAGGTGTGCAAGTTAAGGTATAGTTCATTTATAATTTTTTTAATTAAAAAAATAGAATCATTCATTTTTTGAAATTATGAAAAAAAAATATTTTTAGTTTAATTATTAATTATAATTTTAAAGTTATTATTAAACTATACTTTAACTTGCACACCTTGTGACGTTGCAATTTTTAACTTTCACACTTCGAATACAATAAATTAAGCAACAATTTCGGGAAAGCGACCCAATGGAAATTATTGAAGGACCAGTTCTGGACAACAGTACACATCGATTTGTAACAATGAACTGCACCTTTTAAACAGACTATTTGTTATTGTTTACTATAAAACGGCACAGAGAAAAACAAATTGTTTATCATACTCCTTTTTGTTGCTTTGAATTACGCTAACACAAGAGACATCGACATTTATTCACGTCTTGAAACAAAACAGTTTTTACATTAAACACATAGACAAACCATTACCCAATTTTATAATTTGATTTGCTTTTTGTAGTTAATTAATTCAAGCACCAAAGGGTTGTGTGTTTTTTGAAACAATTTGGAAACGAATAACATTTTTTAATAAAATGTTTTTGAACTAAAATTTAGTCTTGCACGCCCTTTCCCTGTAAAAAAGACTAAAAATTTTAACTTGCACACCTTAGGGAAGTCACTTTATATATAATTATAATATATTATAATATAATTTTAGCCAATTTAAAATCAAAAAAATGAAGAATGATTTTATTTTTAAATTACAATGATATGATAAATTCTAAAATCTTGTTTATGTTTACTACAATAAACTTTATTATATTTAATAAAATCATTAACAATTTTAATATAATATATTATATTATAGTAAGGTATAATATATTATTATATTATATTATATTATATTATATTATATTATATTATATTATATTATATTATATTATATTATATTATATTATATTATATTATATTATATTATTATTATTATATTATATTATATTATATTATATTATATTATATTATATTATATTATATTATATTATATTATATTATTATATATTATTATATATATTTATTAATATCTATTAAACAATCACATTATAAATTAAAATCAGTAAATTACTGTTTTTCTGCTTTGGCTATTTCCCCACAAACTTCCAAGTACACATCAACTAACCTTTTTCTCATTGGTATATCAAACAACTTTAATGCCGCATAAGACACTGCAGTGCACAACACAAACATCAATACAGCGAACAGAAAGTGGCTCATTCCCGAATTTTCACTATGTTTTTCAGCCCACGCCATTTGATAATAAATAAACGAGTAATTGATGCTATACAATTGGTATGATATATTACCAAAGAAATTTGCGCATTTTTCAAACCCTATTTGCGCTTTATGTTTTTCGACTCCTTCATTCATTCCTTCTCGTTGTGTCGAAAGAAGCAAAACTAAAGGAAAAACAACTGACACGCAGAAAACGTCGTAAAGTCCATTAAGAGCACCAAACGTTTCTCCACCAAGTCTTGGCATACAAAATACACCCACCATTAAAACCGAGCATATTTCCAGTCGATACCCATTAACAAATTTTTCGACTTTTTCAATTTTCGACTTTGTCAAAATTTCACATTTTTGAATTTTTTCGACTTTTTCAATTTTTGATTTTGAATTTTCGACTTTTTCAATTTTTGAAAAATTGAAAAAGTCGAATTTTTTCTCGACTTGAACTTTTTCGAGAAGAACACCAAAGAGAAACGAAAAGGAGAATCTGACGAATCCGATGTATAAATGAGACGATTCCAGTGTCCATCCGCCCATAATAGAATATTTGTATTTTGAGTCAATTCTTCCTGTTGTGAATCCAAAGAAGTCGAAGTTCTGTGATATTCCAAACAACAGAACAGAACAAAGGAAGACTACCACGGAGAGTATTTGTATCTTTAACTTGCGGATTATGAGCACAAACATCAATAAACCAATGTACTCAAAGAATAGAGTCCACACCGGACCATTAAGTGGATACATCTCTTGATACCCTCTTATATCATATTGAGGGGGAATTGGGATCATTTGACTTGAAAAGAAAAATACGAGAAACAGTTGAAATACAGACGTGTGCTGCACCAAGGGAAAGATATTACTCTTTGTTGAATAAAACGTGAGTAAACCTAATACAGTCCCAAACAACTGTGTGGGCTGAAGGCGAATAATTCTTTTTATAATAAAGTCTATTGAAGAAAAATTCGTCTTGACCTTTTCATATGAAAATGATAGAACAAAACCAGATAGAAGGAAAAAGAAGTCCACTGCTAAATAGCCATGGTTCAATTTCTGGTCCAGAAGACTGGTTGAGTATGTTTCAAAAAGATGATACATGATCACTATTACACTACAGATACCTCGAAGACTGTCTAATACAGTAAAATGAGGTGGAAATTGTGGAATTGTTCGGTTAGACATAATTATTGAGATCCATTCGTTGATCATTATTTTTATATTAATTTATTTATTTAAACAAAAGCAGTTTGTTATATTTATTTATCAATATCATAAAGTTGTTATTCTAGTATATAATTATATTATAATTGCTCAAAAATTGGCTGATTTAAGACAAAAATAGATATCAAGTTGTCATTAATTATTTCAAACGAAAACTTTTTTAAGTGAAAAGTTTTTAATTGAAAAGTAACACACTTATAAATTATTAATTTTAGCAAAAACAATCAAAATTAAAATAATTTTTGTTTTAGATTAGTACTTTAATAAAAGTGTGTGTCTGTTGAAACAATTATCATTCATTAATGTCAGACAGTATCCAAATTTTTCGTTTTGAGACTGGAACAAGATTCGAAACAATAACCACCAAATGATGTCACAGTTGATGGTATATCCACACTGGTTAAATTTGTACAACCAGCAAAACACCATTTACCTAATGATGTCACACTTGACGGTATTACCACACTGCTCAGACTATAACACGCACTAAAAGAACTTTCACCAATTGATTTCACACTTGATGGTATTACCAAATTATTTAGACAAAAACAAGAAGTGAAACAAGAATCTGGTATTGATGTTATACTTGATGGTATATCCACACTACTTAGCCTACGACATGCACAAAAACACAAATAACCAAGTGATGTCACACTTGACGGTATTATTACACCGACAAGATTGTTACATTCCCAAAAACAATATATACCAAGTGATTTAACACCTGATGGTATGGTCACTTTGTTTAAAGTATTACAACAATAAAAACAGTGACCATTTATTGATGTGAAACCGGGTGGTATATCAAATTCAGTATAGTTATATTCGTTGTTTAACTTTTTATTGTTGATCATAATTACACTTGTTGGTATTTCCACGCTGCTCAATGTTTCATACCCAAACATGCATCTATTTCCAATAACAACGTTTATAAAATGTGGTATTACAACATTGGTTAGACAATCACATCCACTAAAACAAAATTCACCAATCGATTCCACACTTGATGGTATTACAATACTACTCAGACCACTACAATTACAAAAACACCGATCACCAATTGATACAACACTTGGTGGTATCGTTACATCGCTTAGACTGCTGCAAAAATTAAAACATTCCTCCCCAAGTGATGTGACACTTAATGGTATTGTTATACGGCTTAAATTGCAACATCCATTGAAACACTCATAATCAAGTGATGTAACACTTGATGGTATAGTAACATCGCTTAAATTTATACAGTTATTAAAACACCATTCACCAAGTGATGTCACAATTGGCGGTAAATTATTACCAAATTTTTGTCTATCTTTTTTAGTGTAAGTAACATTCTTAAATTTGATGTTTTTATTTTTGTTCACATCAACTGTTGTATAATCAACACTGAACCACACAACAATTCTATAAAAATCAATTTTTATTTCGATATTTTTGTTAGTGTTGGTATCTTTATGAGTTTCAGAGTGTTCAGTATTAACAAAAAATTTATTAACAAAGTTTTCATCTTCCAAATTCCACAAGTGGAGTGTTTCAATATTTGTAAAGTATTTGATCGTTTTGTAATTCAACGGAATTGGGTTGAAATGAAACTTCTCCATGTTGCCTTTGTATTTCTTGCATACAAATTCAATGTTGACAAAGTCCTCTATTGTTGTGAAATACTTTGTGACTATCATGACGTGGTAACTGTCGAGTTTGGACATATCTATTATTATTGAGTAATTGTTTGAACTTTAAATACTTAAAATAAAAAAGAAACAAATTTATTTATTATTATTTAATTCATTGGTTAAAACATTTTCAAATGATGTTTCTAATTGTTGGTAAAAATTATTTAACCAAAAAAACAGATTTGTTATTTTAAAGTACAGTATAATATGGGTTTAATTAACTTTAAATATTTTAAAATTATATGGTTTAATTTTATAATTTTAAAGAAAATATTTTAAATGATTTTTATAACATAAATAATTCATAGAAATTACTTTTGGTAGTTTTATAGTCATAATATTTTAATAATTATTTGATTATATCAAAACAACGTGGTGATAATGAAAAATATTAATACTTCTGAAAAAATTGTTTACTTTTGATATAATATGATAATTAAAATTACAGTAAATGGGATTTTTAGTAAATATTCGGTCTAGTTCCCGAATTAAAAATGTGCCAATAATTCACCCCAATTTAGTGGAAACTGAGTGAGACGGAGCATTGAAAATGAATCACGTACTTTCG